GCCAGTCCATGTTCGAGCGCATCTCTGCGATCCAGCAGGACAAAAACCTCAGCTGTACCGTCGAAGTGTCCTATCTCGAAATCTACAACGAGCGAGTCCGCGATTTGCTCAACCCCTCGAACAAGGGGAACCTCAAGGTCCGCGAGCATCCGTCCACGGGTCCATACGTGGAAGACCTGGCCAAGCTGGTCGTGCGCTCCTTCGATGAAATTGACAACTTGATGGACGAGGGTAATAAGGCCCGTACGGTGGCGGCAACGAACATGAACGAAACCTCTAGTCGATCGCACGCCGTGTTCACCTTGACCCTCACGCAGAAGCGCCACGATGCCGAAACCTCAATGGACACCGAGAAGGTCTCTCGAATCAGTCTGGTGGATCTTGCGGGTTCGGAAAGAGCCAATTCGACGGGAGCCACCGGCGCGCGGTTGAAGGAAGGTGCTGAGATCAATCGATCGCTGTCCACCCTCGGTCGTGTCATTGCTGCGCTGGCGGATGTGGCTTCGGGAAAGAAGAAGAATGCTTCAATGGTTCCGTACCGTGATTCTATCCTCACATGGCTGCTCAAGGACTCTCTAGGAGGTAATTCTATGACGGCGATGATTGCTGCGATCTCACCTGCCGATATCAACTTTGACGAGACTCTGAGTACTTTACGGTATGCCGACTCGGCCAAGCGAATCAAGAACCACGCAGTGGTGAACGAGGACCCCAACGCACGGATGATCAGAGAACTGAAGGAAGAATTAGCGCAGCTGAGAGCGAAGCTCGGTGGTGGTGTAGCAGCAATGGCAGGTGCGGCCGCTGGCACCCTCGCTGGCGCTGACGGAATCCCACCCGAGGAATCTTATCCTCCAGACACGCCTCTAGAGAAGCAGATGGTTTCGATCCATCAAGCGGATGGCTCAGTTACCAAAGTCAGCAAAGCGGAGATTGTGGAGCAATTGAATCAGAGTGAGAAGCTTTATAAGGACCTGAACCAGACGTGGGAGGAGAAAATGGCCAAGACCGAGCAGATCCATAAGGAGCGCGAAACAGCCTTGGAGGAGCTTGGTATAAGTATCGAGAAGGGCTTCATTGGCCTCAGTACACCAAAGAAGATGCCTCACTTGGTCAATCTCAGTGACGATCCGTTACTCGCAGAGTGCCTTGTGTACAACATCAAACCAGGGACCACTATGGTTGGCAATATGGATCAAGGCAGCCATGTGGAGATCAGACTGAACGGCTCCAAGATCATGGCCGATCACTGTAAGTTTGAGAACGTGGACAACATTGTCACCATCATCCCGACTGAAGGCGCCGCCGTTATGGTGAACGGCTTGCGCATCGATCAGCCCAAGCGCCTTAAAAGTGGGTTTCGAATTATTCTGGGTGACTTTCACATCTTCCGCTTCAACCATCCACAAGAAGCCCGTGCCGAAAGAGTCGAGCAAAGTCTGCTGCGCCATACCGTCACCACAAGCCAGCTTGGCTCACCCGCGCCAAACAAAACTCATGACCGCAATGTGAGCAAAACCGGGTCGGAGATTGATGGTGACTCGAGTAGGGCCGATTCACCGATGCCGTCGCAGCCCAGCAGGGAATCCGATTGGTTCTATGCTCGTCGTGAAGCCGTCAGCGCTGTACTGGGGCCCGATCACATCTCGCACATGCCTGATGATGAGCTGGACGCCTTGTTTGAGGATGTGCAGAAGGTCAGGGCCACACGCCGGGGCCTGGCGGAGAACGAGGAGGACTCTGATTCGCTGAGTTCTTTTCCGGTACGAGACAAGTACATGTCAAACGGTACTATCGACAACTTCTCGTTGGATACTGCCATCACGATGCCTGGGACTCCTCGTCCCAACGATGAGGATGACGCACAGAGTGGAGCCGATGCTACTCTGCAATCTGTGCGCCAGGACATGCAGCGGCAGCTGGATCGGCAAAAAGAGGAATATCAAGACAAACTGAGAAATGCTGAGACGTCATCTAGTCAAGACGTTGAGGACCTTCGCTCTGAAAAGACCCGGATGGAGGAAGCCCTGCGTACAGCGAAGGAGGAATTTGAGGAACAACTGAGGAAACAAAAGGAAGCATTCGAGTCCCACATGAAGGATCTAGGCCAACCGGTACCCAAAGTCTATGAGAATGGCTTTGCCAAACTCGACGCCCGGGAACTCGAAGTCGCACGCTCAGTTTACCGCCACTGGTCTCAGCAGAGCTACGTTCGCATGGCCGAGAAGGTGTTGCAATACGCGTCGCTACTGAAGGAAGCCCAGGTCATGAGTCAGATCATGGACAAGAATGCTGTATTTCAGTTTGCAATCATCGATCATGGGCACAACATGGCCTCGTCTTATGACCTCGTGCTGAACGGTATCTCCGGGGACGAGGACGTTGTTCTGGACGACGCTAGGAAGCCGTGCGTAGCTGTCCGGGTTATTGACTTCAAGCAATGTGTGATCCATCTCTGGTCCATCGAGAAGCTCCAGCGCCGCGTCCAGGCTATGCGTCAGCTACACCAGTACATCGACCGTCCTGACTACATCCAGCATTTCAAGTTAGAGAATCCCTTCTCCGAACCCTGCTCGCCTCAGTACTCGCTTGTCGGCGACGCCGACATTCCGCTCACTGCTGTCTTCGAAACTCGAGTCCAGGACTTCTCCGTCGAAGTTTTCTCACCTTATACGCAGAACGTCATCGGCATTATCCGACTGTCTCTGGAGCCATCTTCGGCCCAGGCCCCGTCGTCTACGTTGAAGTTTAACGTTGTCATGCGGGATATGGTTGGGTTTGCCGAATGGGAAGGGTCGGAGGTGCACGCTCAGCTCGTCGTACCTGGGATCTCCGAGGAGGGCGGTGCCACTACGACGCAGATGATTAGTGGGTTCGATGAAGCCCCGGTGCGATTCGAGAGCGTCCACAGCATGAGCTTGCCATTGTCCAGCCCTCGCAGCGCCGCTCTGAAGATCTGCGTCTATGCGCGTGTGACCCAGATGCACCTCGATAAACTTCTCAGCTGGGACGACATGCGTGACTCAGCCGAGCCGGCGCCCAAGAAACGGAAAACCCCACGGATTGCCGAAACAGAGTTCTATTCCGAAGAGAGACACGATGTTTTTGCACGGGTTCAGATCCTCGAGTTGGCGGAATCCGGCGAATACCTTCCGGTTGAGGTTGTTCAAAGCAACAGCCTTGACGCAGGCACATACCAACTACACCAGGGTTTGCAGCGTCGTGTCATGGCGAACTTGACCTACAGCTCAACTGAGAGTCTGCCTTGGGATGACCTGACCAACATTCGTGTGGGGTCCGTGCGACTGCTGGACCCTTGGGGTAAAATCCCCGATCAAGACCTGCAGACTCCCGACGTTCCATTGAAGTTCATCCAAGAGCCCGGTGTGAAAGAGAATGCAGACGGAACTTCACATATCACCATCATAGGCCAATGGGACTCGAGTTTGCACGGGTCTCTGCTTCTTGATCGGGTCACTGCGGATAAGTACCGCGTTCAGGTGACCCTGAGGTGGGACCTGATATCTTCACGCTTGCAGGACCCAGTGCCGTTCGAGATTGACTTGACTCTTCAGATCCAGGGTCGAACCTATGTACGACCGCAATCGATGTTCAAACAGTTCTTCAACTCCACGCGTATTGTGCACTCGACTGTTCGCATGTTTTCCTTGGTTGTTCGGCCGGTGTCTGCCAAGCGGGCTGCAGACCTGTGGCGCATGAACACGCAGAATGATTATGTCAAAGGCGAGGAGTATCTGACTACGTGGTCCCCACGCAAGGTGTCGCTTGTGCGGGACTATGTTGCTGCGCGCAAACGGCGGCGACGCATCGCCGAGTTGTATGCTGCGAAGGGAGCTCTCAGTGCTAACAGCTTGGTGGCATCGCCCATGCGCAGTGGACGTTCCACGCCTCTCCGAAGCCAGAAAGGTGGAGACCGCGATGCGAAACTTCTCCAGAAATACATCGATCTCTGGGCGAAGAGGACCGATCCGATTGAAGCAATCCTTGTTCGGAGCAACACCGAGCCTCCTGCCGGCGGGGCGGCTTTCTCTTCTCGGATCCGGCAGCCTTCGTCCAGCGACGATGAGAACTCGAGCTCCACTTCCGACGAGGCATCCTTGAAGCCGCGATTTGTGGCCACCATCCAGACTCTACCGAAAAATCCATCTTCTTTGAAGTCTGGTTACCTACTTACCCCGGATGATACCAACAGCCAGTGGGTGCGGCGGTTTGTTGAGCTTCGCCGACCTTACCTGCATGTTCACTCTGTCCCCGATGGGGACGAGATCAATGCCATCAACCTGCGCAACTCGCGAGTCGATCATTCCCCCGATTTTGCACGGCTTCTCGACGGGCCAGGAACGACGGGTGATCGTGGGGCGTCGAGGGGCCGCCATGTGTTTGCGGTGTATGGGTCGCAGAACACGTTCCTGTTTGCGGCCCGCACGGAAGCGCAGAAGGTGGAGTGGATCTTGAAGATCGATGAAAGCTACTTCAGCAACGCTGGGGCGCGGGCAATGACGAATGGTTCTTGATCGTAAGACTCGAGGGACTTTTGTTTGTCCCCGTCCCCACCCCTCCGATTTTGTAATGCATTGCGTCTCTTTTTCTTTCTCATTTTGAGTGATTGGCAGGCCTGGTGTTCATCTTTCGTTAGACTCGTGACAACCCTTCCTGATTGATTTTGAGATACCCCTGAATAACTTTGCCGTGATGGCGCCTGTGATCTCCATGTACATACATCTTGAGACTATTTCGATATAGAAGCGACCGCCTCCTGGGCTCCTTTTGGGTAGTGTAGTTGGTACTTACTGGTAGTGACTAAATACGTAGGATGTGGAATTATGGCATCAAGCCTAGACCTGGTGTGGAGAACATGGACTGGATGCTACTCGTAGATCGAAGGTTGCCATGACAACCCGGATGGCATCACGAGGGGGTCTGCGCTATCAACATTGAGCTTATCGCATCGTCTCAACTGACATCTATCACGTATCAACCTTAGTTATACCACAGCACTACATTTGCAGCGGACGCTTTTCCAGAGGAATGCGCCTCTCCTACCACCAGCATCGAGGATGTATACCATATCCAAAGCGCATCTTCTCGCCACCGCCGCCGTCCTCTCCCTGATCATCACGACCTTCCTTATCTTCGGCACGCAGTACTCCACCTCGGTCGCCAACTATGCGCTGAAGACGTCTCTGCAAACCGGGGGCTGTCCCCCGCAGCACGTGGCAGTGGAAATGCCTGTAAGCAGCAGCAACACCACCGACTGGGAATTCCAGGTGGCGCGCGACGGCAACAACTACGGCCTGACGCCGCCGCAATGCCGCGCGGCATTCCCCAAGCTGTTCGCGGAGATCGACAACGCGACGGCCACGCGCGCACAGAACCCGATCACCTTTGAAGAGTTGGATCAGATTGAGATGGCAGACGGGATGGTGCGGGGGGTGATTGCGGATGGTCAGGTAGGTCCCTCTCCCTTCCTTTCCTTGCCCTCACCCTCGCCATTATAATCCTCCCACCCCAACATACACATATATATGATATCAACCCTCACCCCCACTAACCTCCCACCCTGTATGCAAAGCTATACATCCTCTCCTACACCCCCCAACCCGTCACCTTCAGCCGCGCCAAAGCAACCCTACACGCCCTGCACCGCGCCCTGGCCGCCTCGCCCACCGTTCTCCCGCCGCTCGAATTCATCCTCACCACCGAAGACTTCTACCTCCCTCCTTCTCCCCACCCCCAGAAACCCGGTGCAGGCCCACCGCCCATCTGGTCCTACACCAAACTGGCCCACCACACTCACACCTGGCTCATGCCGGACTTCGGGTACTGGTCGTGGCCCGAAGTCCAGATCGGGCCGTACGCCGCGCTGCGCAACCGCATCGCCGCCCTCGAATCCGCCCTGCCCTTCGCGCAAAAGCGCAAACAACTGCTGTGGCGCGGCAGCACGGCGACCAACCCGGGCGTGCGGGGGACGCTCCTCAAAGCGAGCCAGGGGAAGAGCTGGTCCAGCGTGCACACCCTCGACTGGGACTCCGCGGATGCTTCCGCCACGGGCCTGCCATCGGCATTCCTCCCGATGCACGAACACTGCGCCTACATGTTCCTCGCGCACACGGAGGGGCGCAGCTTCTCCGGCCGCGGGAAGTACCTGTTGAACTGCAGGTCGGTGGTGCTCTCGCACCCGCTGACGTGGCGGGAGGCGCACCATGCGGCGCTGGTGGCGGCGCCGCATCCGGCGGCCAATTATGTGGTCGTGGAGGAGGAGGGGTGGGCGGACTTGGATGCCAAGATGCGCTGGTTGATTGATCATCCCGAGGCGGCGGAGCGGATTGCCGAGGAGGCGGTGCGGACGTTCCGGGACCGGTACTTGACGCCCGCGGCGGAGGCGTGTTATTGGCGCGAGTTGATCGTGAAATACAGTGGGGTGTTGGGGTTTGTGCCTGTGGTGGAGGGGCGGGAGGGGGTGGTGGCTTTTGAGGATTGGGTTTTGGGGGTTTCGTAGTGGGGATTCTTTGGGCGGGCGGTCCCCGGGTACGGGTTATATCTTGTATATGTTATATGGTGTATGTATGTGGGTGGTGTTTACGGTGTTTGGGTTATGAGGTTATGAATTCTATGGTGTATTTTAGATTCCACTACTCCTGGGAAGAAAGACGGGGGTCCGGGGGGCACCCCCGGGATCGCCTACTCTACTCACAGTTACTGCGCTGTTGCTGCGCGGACTCTACCGGTAGAGGATATATATCGCTACATATCCAGCTATAAACCCCATATAAACACTGTACAACTCCGAACACGCCCCCATCCAGCCTACATCCTACAAAACAACCACATCCTCGCCCTGGATGTCCAACCTCGCCGCATACGTGCACCGTTTGTTCGGCTCACAGAACCCATGGAACAGCATGCGATCCCCGCACCCACACACCGTGCCGCCGCCCGGCGACGTCAGATTCCACTGGCCCGAGGCGAACAGCTGCCTGCCGGACTTGGTGTACGGGCCGGTGATCGACGAGCTCGTCGCCCAGCGCACATCGTACTTGGGGTCCGTGTAGCAGTGCGTCGAGTAGAACAGGAAGTATGTGTCGCCGTGCAGGATCAGGTTCGGGGCTTCGACCAAGGGGCCATCGCTGTCGTCGCGGTCGAGGATCTGGACCGCCTCGCCGACGGGCGTGAACCCGTCGTCGGCGACCTTCTGCAGCAGGATCGGCGTGGGCTTGAGCGGCGCGATCCCGTTGTTGCAGTCGCCGCCGTTGCCGATGCTGTTGCCGTCCACCTTGAACACCACGTAGCGGCTGCCGTCGCGGTCGAGGAAGCCCGACGGGTCGATGGAGCCGCCCTGGTCCAGTCGGCAGGATAGCGGGGTCGGGTTGGGAATGTAGGGCCCCGTCGGGTCGGTGGTTTCGGAGACGGCGACCCCAACGCAGTGGTGGCGGAGGTCGTCTTTGGCTTCGCCGGAGTAGTAGAGGACGAATTTGCCGTCGTTCTGTTTTGGACTTTTGGTTAGCTCGGTGGCCCAAAAAAGGGTAGGAGGGAAAAGGGGGCCTGGTTGATTATAGACTGTCCCTCCTCCCCCTGAAACAGCTTCGGTTTGCTAACAAAAAAACGTCTGGAGCATACCCGCTGTACTACATCTGGGGCCCAGTGGTCCACGGCTGTCTCCCAGCCAGCCAGGGTGGGCATGGCTTCCTTATCCAGCAGAGTCCAAGACTCGAAGTCAGGGGATCTGGCCACCTGGACGGTCTTGCCGTTGCCATTGGTGCCAAACGCGTACCATGCCCCATCATCACCCTGAACGAAGCCTGGGTCGGGGAAGTCGGAATCAATGGCAAGCCATGGGCCTGCGGATCGAGGCGCGATAGGAGAGCCCAGAGCCGGTCCTGTCGCTGCCAGCAGAAGCCCTAGAGACCAGCGCATGACTTGAGTAAGTCGCATTGGGAGTTAAACTATGGACACGCTCAGTATAAAAGAAACTCCAAGTGTCAGGCAAGTCACCAAGAAGACAATCCACACCACGGGAAACGACTGGACCCGGGCCGATTTATATCGCAGGAATCCTCAGCATCGAGGCGGGTCATCCATTGCGTTGACGACTCCTAGTTGGCTATACTGGAGTGAGCTATAATGAGCTAATTCCTCAATCATTTGACCGGGCGTCTCAAGAACCAAGCAGGATTGGGTTTCTTGGTCGGGGTTCAGGATGCAACACATGGCCCCAGTCTAGGGGCAACAGTTATCTCGCTGCGGGGACAATATCCCCGACCGTCTCCTCACCGGGCTACAAGTCTAGTGACCATGCTTGAGCTCAGTAGCGCAGCACAATTGACCACAAAATCGATCGATCGATTATGACTGGACTGGCGGGCTGGTAGGTCGAGAGGATCGCCGTGCAACTGCCGCAAGGCTGCCCTTTCGAACCGACAGCAAACGGTGCGCACGACCTGCAGTCGGCCACTGGAGTGAGAAATTGACGTTTCATCAACGCCTTGTCAGTCTGGGCGAGCGGACCAGAAACAAAGCGCGGATGTTGGTCGGGGTATGGGAATTCCCGAAAACAGGAAGCGCATCTCTGTACCCTAGTTAGTGCCAACCTAACCCCATGATTCCCGCAAGCGTGATACTAGTCCACAGCTATAGGGAAGTCGATGGATTAAACTCAAAGTATGAACCTTCTTGCAAGACCATAAGAAAGCATGAGTTGAAGGGGAGAGAGGGGTGGGCGAAAATGCAAGGACAGCCACCAGGGGGTAGGACGGAAGTTGATCATACCACTCCAACATGTGCGTGTGTGTGTGTGTGTGTGTGTGTGTGTGTGTGTGTGTGTGTGTGTGCTGAATATACTGGAGGTGCATCGATACAACAATTTCAATCTTGCAAGTTTCAAAGGAAACCAGTATGACTGCTGGACCGACTGGAATCACAGTGCCGTGCATATAGTGTCTTGTATCTGATAGGCGCAAGCCGCCGTGCTTGGAAAGTCAGCCACTGCCGCCGCTTCAGCATTTCGTGCCTGACTCGTGCACCACCACCGCCAGGTTCGAAAGCCCAACAGCAATTAACACCGTCGGGTCCGCCAGGCCAAGATGCGCCTATTCAGATGCTGTTGTCCTGTGGAGTGTGGTCCATACCTCTAAATGGTCTCCCAAGACTTGGCAGCGCAAAAAGGTGACTTCGTCAAGAGGCAAACTTTTCCGCCCTCAAACATTCAAACATTCCTCGGCCAAGATTTCGGGCAGTCAGTCGCCAGCAAACAACAACCAATCGATCGCAATCCAAATCCTTCCAGATAGAGAGCTTCAAGGACACCGCAAGTCCGCTGACTCACTTTCTGCATCGTCGACGTCAGATCCAGCGATGCTGGCGGTAGAATAGACCCTTGATCTGGGTTGTGTGTCCCTTGCCTTATCGCCATGCCTATCACCTGAGCGCCCCAACAGTTTGCGCCTTTGTAGATGTTATTCGAAGTATGGAAAACGGTCATCCGGCATATTGGAGGGTGCTTTTCCCCCTCTGAGTGGCGGATCGGCTGAAGTTGACCATGGATCGGGAAAACCCCGTGTTGGTTTGCCGCATCAGGTGAATGGACAGACGATGGAGTCGTATGAGATAAGATCTGCCAATCCAATTTTTCCATGTGCGGACCCGGGTGAATGGGATTCATATCCACTCCCCGCATATCAGGAATTTGGGGGAGTTGCGGGGAATTATCCGCAAGTCGTGCACGTGTCGATCGCGATCGGCGAGTGGATTGGGGTAGCAGAGGGAGATGGACGGTGGGTAGAGTCGGATGAGACACTGTACAAAATTGTGAAGTTTCGTTACGAGGAGAAGGGAAAGTCAAGCGGGCTTCTCTTTCTGGCGTAGCCTCGGCTGACTGCCTCGCGAACCATTTCGCACTTGAGTTGACAGCCAAGGTCGGAATTTGCGCTGCTTTTTGCTCACTGAGCGGCCCGGAGCGTGGGGCAGCATTGAAGTGAAGTACTGTACGTGACCGATCATGCTCCATGTCTTCGACTGCACGGAGGTCAGGACGGCTTGGTGATGGTATAGTACCTCCCTAACCCCTTACTTACCTCCTCCCTTTACTCTACAGGATGCTTATTGGAAAGTATACGCTGTACCGGATGGTGGCAGAATCTGGAGGAGCGGCTGCGCGAGTCCTTGTCATAGAGTGTTCATAATAATGGTACTGATGATGGGGATGATGATGCTGCTGATAAGAATTGATGGAGGTGGTGGTGGCGATGGTGATGGTGATGGTGACTGGGGCAATAATGGTTTGCTTAATCTTTCTTGTCTCATCACGGGGCCGTTGGATTTTGTTTTCGTCCGCTTCTGTGTTCTTTTATGTTACATACGAGTGATGTCTTGGCCAGCATCTACCTCAAAAAGGCTCCTTAGGCTCGCAAAGAGCTGCTGCACGACATCATATATGGTGAATAAGATCAGTCGAGCCTCATAGCAACTCATTCCAGAACTTGTATGTTGGGAACTCCTCAATTTGGATGCGGAGCGCCTCCTCTCTCTCCTTATCCGACTTTCGTTTGTGGCGCAGGGCTTCAGAATGGCTCATCAGCCAAGGTCCGGTTTCTTTCATAATCATATCGACCAGTTCTCGGGGAAGGGTAGAGAGCAGAGTCGGGTTCGCCAGTACATCGTCGCGCCACCACTCATGCTGCTGCGGGGGAACATTTCTCGTGGAGCAAATGCGATAGTGCGGGTCCACCAGCCACAGGACGACCCAGCGCTGGTGGCCGGGGCGACTGGGGTCGCGCAGAGAGAAAGGATGACGTTTGTATCGCAGGGTATTCGACCACAGGAGATAGCGGCCGGTGACCACGGCGACAGACCCCAAGGTTTGCAGCTTGGGGGTGGGCGGATCGACGCCGGCTGCTGGGGTCGGCGGCAGACCGTAGAGCTTGTAGATGCAATCTGGATCCTTCTGGTGGCCTTTAAGGGTCAGGTCGTCGTTCTGCTGGTAAGAGATGCGAGACTCGGTGACGTTCTCCGCGCTATAGCAATAGCCCGCGGTGGCGACAATGTGTTCGTTGAGCATGCCATCCACGTGAAACTCGGCCTCCCCAGGATAACGAGGCGCATCGGGCGTCAGGTCGATGCTAAACACCCGCACAATGACCTGCAGTCCCTTGGCCCGGAACTGGTTCTCGAGCGACACCTGGTAGTATTCGTGATCGCGCGGCGGTTTGAACCATCGGTCCTCAGGTTCCCACGGACTGACGATTGGATTCGCGGTCTTGCCCAGCTTCCAATCTTCGTACGTAAAGGAGATCCCTGGCTCAGGGTACTGAAACCGGCTAAGTCGCCTCCATTTGGCCCGGATTATCTGCTTTACACTGGTGGGGGACGCCCACATTTCCGGCGTCATTAAGTCGAGCAGGTTTTCGGTCTGGGGGGGATCATGTGGCTCTGGTTCGAAGACTCGATACTTCGGATCCTCGTCTGGAATTAGCAGAAACTCCATCACCCGAAGACAATATTCCTCCCATTCCTCTGGTGTCCAGGAGCGCCGGGTGATGTCTTCTTTCCATCCCCGCGGGAGCACCTCTTCCGGGGGCTCTTCATTCACCGGGGTTAGTTTTCGATTCTTGAGTCCATAGGTGTGGATACGTCGTGGCATGCGACCGCGAACGCCCTTCACAAGGACATCATTCCAAGGCCGGATAGCTAGAGAGATTAGTTTCTCAATTGCCGAATACGCCTGGGTATTTGCTGGGTGGAGGTTATTGATATAGGAGGTAATCCGGACTGCCGTTCCAGAGGATTCGGCAAACTCCACCTCGCACGGTAACCACTGAAAGCAAGACGAGAACTGTCGACGCCTCGAGCGCCCATGAAGATAGTATGGCAACTTGAGTGCCGAAGCAATCTCGCCCGGGGGATGATCCGGCACAGCATCCGTCTGCGCCACATTGGTGGCAGGGAGGAGTTCCCATATCGAGCCGTCTGTGGCCAGAGGAACCCGACCTCCACGGCTGAGAACCTTCGTCCGACCGTAGATCAGCATGTAGAGTGACGGGTCCACCAGATCGTGAGTCCCATCGCTCTTTGGCAGACGCCGGAACGCGTCCTGGAGCTGCTGCCTCAAGGCGTCCGGCACGACACGATCGGCTTTGCACACGCCCGAGTCTGCATTGAAGACCACCACATGGCCGGTCTCACGCAGCGATCTGGCCTTGTCTTGAAGCTCCGCCACGCACCAGAGCCAGGATCGGGTGGTGACGAGATCCATGTCTACATCCTGATCGGTTTGCGGATCAAGATGCACGTACTCGGATGCCTGGGCGCGCCATTTTGCAAGCGTCGCGGGATCGAAGACCTCCTGCTCCCAATTCTTACGATCCGTAATGCGCTCCACGAGCCGCAACATCTGAACTTCTGGGGCAGTGAGCCTGACAGGCCGCCTGCTGTGATCCTCTTGGGTCCCGTGCGCAAAGCGTTCATCGATGGCGAGCTCCATCTCTAGGAAGATGCCATGGAAGCCCGGGACTTGAAGGGGCCCCCGGCCACTATTGTCGAAGGTGGGTGGCATTATTCGGCCATTCAGGTCAGCGATGTCACTGTCACCGAATAAAGCAAGAACCTGACGAGAGGGATAGTATGTGCCCATGGTTGAGGGGGTGAGCCGGAGGTCCAACGGTCAACTTAGAAGTTAGGATAGTAGGTGGGGTGCGGGGGACCCATTCACTTAAATAGTGCGCCGCTTGCTACGGAAGCCCTATCTCGACCGAAGAACTCCTTATCGCGTGCTTAATTCTGAAACTAGGAGATTCACTATACTACACATAACCCCCCAGCGTTGCACTGCACTTGCTGAGAGAACAAAACTTCATCGATCTCCCCGAACAACTTGGCCGAACGATTACTGTCGTTACTGTCAGTGGCCAAGATGATGTCGATGGTGGTGGTGGTGGTGGTGGTGGTTGGCATGCTTGTGGGCATCCCAGTGCCGCTTGATGGCGGCACTATCCGGGGTCTAGATAAAGAAGGCGTGGTTAGTCATCTGCAGCCCAAGAGAAGTAACGTTATTGTTTCGCAGTAATGCTTACCATGCTCGCAAGAAGGGAAGACGGCGTAGGACGGGAAGTCAAATGGGAAGAGGAATGCACCGAGGAAGACGAAAGATTGACGGAGGAACTGCTGCCTCGTCCGCAAACACCATAAGAAAAGTTGGGATTCGGTGCTGTGGCTACCGGGGACTGGCGAAAAAGCTCACATTGGCCACCACTGGTGAAGAGCCAGGTTTGGCAGGCAGCGATCGTCGAGCACTTGAGACCGCAGTCCGCTGCATCCGTATAATTGAAACCGAATGTCAGAGCGGCACCACTGAAAAATGCGATTGTATCATGAGAGATATCGTCCAAGCAAGCTGTACGTGCGGTCGAAGTTGCAGCCAGAGCAAGCAGGCACAGGTAGGTAGGGTACTGTAACAACATCCTGGGTATGTGATAGAAGACCTTTGAATCAAAACGTGAACGACGGCATTTGTTATGAAGATGATGAATTCCCTTTATCTACTTTTGCTACATCTCGAGTATGAGGGGTTCTTTCTGTCGGAAGGCCCGGTTCGAGGTAAGGGGAATTCGCCAGGGACCGACTTTGTATCCTAGTAAAACCTGCGTATCATCGCAAGGCATGGTAATCTTAGAGGTCACTGTAGCGTCTAAACCCCCGATTTGAGGCATTTACTCCTGTCATAGATAGCTCCATTGATATTGCTGTCGCGATGCACATATTGGGTGTAGTTGCCTGCCTAGGGCGGGCCCCACAAGCTCCCAATTCGGCACTACGTCCGTGGCCGATAAGCCTTGGACCGAAACCAAGCTTCTTATATCCCAATAACAAACCAATCGCACGGATGGATTAGAAATAGGTCAGGGCCTGTCAATGCATCCAGGGACCTGCTTTTCCAGCCAAGATTGCAAATCCAACGGCTGGATTTTCCGCTATAGCCTGGAGGACAGGGGTTTGAAGGCACCAGCACCGTACTGCCATCAGCTTTCACAAATACACTAGCTATATTGAACCCCACCAACCACACTAAAAGCGAGAGGCAAATGACTAATTTCAAGCAATCTTTAAAAGGAGCAAGACCCGATGCTACTTCGGCCGAACCAGATGTGATAAAGAGAAGCGATTCTACTACGACTACTCTTCCTGCAACTACTGGGCCGCCATACCGGACCCAGCTGAACATCGAGACCTAGACTCCCATATCAAATTGAAGCCCCCCACTTGGTCTGCTTACTCTGTGTAGAGGTCTCTCAAAGCCTTCGGGAAACCGACGTACTGGTCTTTACGTCCCCTTTACTCAATCAAACGAATGGGGCTGCGCCAGTCGGCCCTCTCTTGCCTACCCTGTGCGCTAGTCGTTGCCGCGATAATATGCAGGGGCATTTGGAATGATGATCCATAAATCAACAGAAAAAGACTCCTAGCCCAAATTCTACTCTCGTGCGATCTATGCCTAAGACTAAACTATCGATTTACCTACTCGTTAGTAGCAGCCTAGTAGAATACGTACTTCCGAAGACGGGTTCCACCTTGACCCGATCTAGGTATTGGGCCGGAGTCACTACGCTCTATACAACTTGATGCTATGCTCGAAGGTGAGAAATGATTTCTTTAACTTTCTCAGTTGCTCGACGGATAAGTTAGTCTTGCCCTGTCAAATAGATCACCTTGCTTACTGAACCTTTATATGAGTTAACCAATAATGGGGTCCAGCTAAATCGAGAGAGTCGCATACAATACAATACAGTCAGGCAGGATCCTGATATAGGAAAGAGAAGACACGCGGAGAACAGTAAGACAAGTACAAAGAATAGAAACCGGGGCCAGGCGCGAGAGAATTTGCTATTCCCCGTCCAATTGAAACTCAGGAACAGCCCGCCTCGAGCGATTGCACAGAACGCTCGTACACATCTACGAGCGTTTGGTGATTTTGGTGTGGCCTTGTGATGGGCTTAGTTTTAGACCAGTTCATGAAGTCCCTGAGTAGCTCCTCTTCGTTTGCCGCATCTCCGTCGGCCATGTCCGATGCCATTCCTTCGTAGTCGAGATCATCGTAGATGATGGGCAATGATGGCGTGTGAGTTTCGTCTATTCCCAGATCCCGCAATTTGACCTTCAAGGTAGGGGGCTTGTAGTTTCTTAAGAAGGCCTGCGCTTTGTACCCATTGAGAGTCCCATACTGCACAACTAATTCACTGAGCCGAATGGACCGCGCCCATTGCAACGCCGCTGCGGCTTTTGCCACCAGGTCCGCGGATGGCACAACTGCGCGAGCCTGTTGGATTTTGCTCACAACGGCACTGACCACGCCTGCAAAATTCTCTGGTGCTTTCTCGATGATCATGTCCATCCTCAAGTTTGTGCTCTTGTAATTCCATTCCTCATCAATCTCTTCGGCTATTGCATGGACGTCGGGGCTTGTCGTTCCTGCATTTTCAGTCGGTCTGAAAGCGCTGAGATTATCCGGGTCCATGATTGTGCGCATGAATTCCGCCAAGGTACAAGGCCTGTCCATGCACTCAGCGCCAATCGTCCTCGTATACAGTACGCCGTCTTCAGCCGCTTTGGCTGCAGCTGCAGCATCGATTTGGTATGCATAGTAGAAGAAAATAGCTTCGTAAGGACCGGTCAACCGGGAACAATTGGCAAGGTTGATAGACGCGAAGAGCATGAGGATAACCGGGATCAGCTCCATGATGGATCGAGTATTTGTCTAAGCAAAACCTCACGGGAAACAAAAACTGGTAGCAGAAAGAGAAAGGCAAACTTGCATGCCAGCAGAGAATTTGGGACAGCATGCATAGTAGGATCTCCTATTTATCTTCTGATTATGTCTCTCTCTCATGGTGCTTGCTCATGGCCAAATTGACTATTAGAAATCATATCGGTTATCATTGCGTAAGACAGCTACAGACGCCGGCGTACTACTAGTGCATGTCACTCAAATCGAGGCAGTCGAGCTAGCTACCTAGTACAGGATGATTGTGGATGCTCATTTGGTTTACCATGAGTTACAGCTAGCCCTGTTGGTAACGCAGATAGCGCAACTTTAGATTATCCACCGAGAAACTGGCGATTTAATCAGGGGGACCGGACCGAATTAACAAATTGTCATAGAGGATTGATTCCAATGTAGCAAGAGCGAAAGCCCGGGTATCTCAGGCCGGGATGCAAGAAACGGAGTGTGCTCATCTATAAATGACCGGTCCAAGGCCCTTGCTGCTTCCTACTTTGCACATAGCTCACTAACTCTATTCACGCTCGTTTAATTCTCTATTCATTCATTCGTGTGCATACTATGGGCTCTGATCGTTCTTTCTGACGTCTACCCTCGCTTTTGATTCATTCATTTCTTGGGGTCTCTTTTTGGAATTCATCTCTTTCTCGTTTCGTAACTCTCCTGACCATCATCTTTTGTCTATATACAACTATAGTATATACCAGCTTGGCAGAGGCCTATCTGTCATCATGCGGGGTTTGCTCTCAGCGATACTGTCGCTCACCCTCCTGGTTCTCAAAGCCCAGTCTCGAGCAGTTTTTGCCCATTTTATGGTACGTCCCCTCAGCACAGCAGACAGCGCTTATGCTCACCATCAGCAAAGGTCTCCAACACCCTAGGCTACTCTGTCGATGACTGGGAGAATGAGATGTCTCTGGCTTTAACCGCGAAGATCGACGCCTTCGCCTTAAACATCGCCGTGGGAGACGCCACGAACACGGGTTCTTTGGGCAATGCGTTCCTAGCCGCAGAGAACATCGGGTTCTCGCTCTTTTTCTCATTCGACTACGCAGGCAATGGGCCGTGGGCGAAGGCCGATGTGCTCAGTATGCTACAGAGCTACACGTCGAACACCGCCTATTGGCAACATAATTCGAAGCCCTTTGTGTCCACATTTGAGGGCCCCGACAACGCAGACGACTGGGTTGATATCAAAGAACAGACCGGATGTTTTTTTATGCCCGACTGGTCCTCTGTCGGAGCGGATGTTGCTGTGACTCTCGGTGGTGGAGTCGCGGATGGTCTGTTCAGCTGGGCAGCATGGCCATACGGCCCCAATGATATGAATACCTACGTGGATGCCTCCTACATCGACTTTCTAGACGGCAAGCCATATATGATGCCCGTTTCCCCGTGGTTCTTCACAAACATGCCCGGCTATGACAAGAATTGGCTCTGGCGCGGGGATGATCTCTGGTACGACCGCTGGGTTCAGGCTATGTACTTGGCGCCAGAATTCATTGAGATCATTACCTGGAACGACTTTGGCGAGTCTCATTATATTGGCCCGATCCAGGATAGCGACTCCTCTTTAGCGGAAGCGACCTATACCGCGTTTGGTACGGGTCTATCCCCGTACAACTACGCCCTGGACATGCCCCATGACGGTTGGCGAGCGTTTCTCCCTTGGCTTATTGATACGTATAAGAACAATATCTCCACAATTACACAGGAAGGAGTTCAGGCGTGGTACCGATTGAATGTTCGTGGGAGCTGCGCGTCGGATGGCGGGACAACCGGAAACACCGTGAGCCAGCTACAGCTTGAGTACTGGCCATATGAGATTCCTCAAGACCGGATCTTCTTCTCTGCCCTGCTGGGATCTGCAGCAGACATCTCCGTAACAGTCGGGGGCACTGATCTAGGGGCAATGTGGAACAGTACCCCGAGTGGAGGCGCAGGCATGTACCATGGAAGTGTGGAATTCTCGGTGCAGTCGGGGAGCGTTGCAGTGGCAATTACTCGAGATGGTGCTACCATTGCAAGCTTTACAGGTCAAGACATTGTCACCGGTTGCGCTGCGTCAAGCGGGATAGAGAATTGGAACGCCTGGGTAGGCTTAGGCATGTCGTCTACCACAGTATCAGCTACTCCGACCTACTCTCTCGCCGACCAGGTCTGCATCCAGGGCTGGGGGGTGGGCAACTTCGAGGGCCTATGCTCCTTTGCTTGTAAGCTTGGATACTGCCCCGTCGGGGCCTGCCTCTGCCAAGAGATGGGCCCCCAGGCCCAGATGCCCAAGAGTTTGGGAGTGATCGGCTATCCCGCTGCTGGAATGACATCCGACTATATGGGTCTCTGTGCCTTCTCCTGCAACTACGGGTACTGTCCTCCATCCGCCTGCACCACTACTAAGGTCCCCCTTGTCACATCGACCGTGTCGCCCTTCACCCCCGCTACATGCACTGCAGGTGAAGGAACGGGCGACTTGGCAGGTCTGTGTAGCTTTGGCTGTAATTATGGGTTCTGCCCCATTCACAACTGCACCTGCACTGCCACCGGTCCACTGGTCGTGCCGCCCGCCGCGAACACGAGCATCACCGGCTACACCATGGACCTCTACGCAGACAGCGGCCTATGCAACTTTGCCTGCGAGCGGGACTACTGCCCATCCCCCGTCTGTCTCGAGGACGATGGGGGCGATGGAGACGATTTGGTTTGCACCGATGATGATCCGGACTCTGATTGCGACGAGGGCGACGCCGTCAGCTGCGATTACACCCTCTCGTTCGATACTTTCGCAAGCCTCACAGCCTCCTTGGGCTCTCTGGAGGACTTTTGCGTCAACTATTATGTACTGGGAATCCTGGCCAACATGCTCAACGCCACGATGGCCAACTACACGGACATTCTGTCCAGCTACGGGGGCAAGTTCACTGGGTACCAGAAATACATCCGCGAAGAGGTGCCCGACGCGCTGACGGCGTACATGAACCCGGGGGGTGCGGGCAACGTCTTTTTCACCTGCACCTTCGGCCAGGGTGGCATCAACACGTCAACTACCACTTGTCCTTTTGACGCGGAGCAAGTGTACAATGGCTACGATATCTACTACGACCTGACCAACGCCACCGCCTTCTGGGCCAACCTGACGGCCACCACGGGGATTCAGGAGAGTTGGGTGCAGTTCGGAGACAAGGATGTCGGGTCAAGCTGCGGCGTGGGTTCCGGCAAGACCTGCCAGCCCGATAGGGGGACGCTGAAGGGCTACCCGCTCCCTGCGGACCCCATTAATGTGACCAACCCCCAGACCATCATCCAGGACGCCCTTCCTGGCATTCGGAACCTAACCCAGTCGATCCTCCTGGCCCAGATCCTGGAGGCAACGGGCGCCACCGGAGGCAGCATGAGCAACATCCTGCTCACCTTCTCGACCGTTGTCTTCACGCTGGCCCAGGCCGTGGCGAACATGCGCGAGGTGGTCGAGGTGGCCGACGAGGCCTCGGCGGAGGAAAAGCGGGCGATGATCGAGGAGATTATCTTCGGGGTGCTGATGGTGGTCCCCTTCCTTGGGGAGATCCGGCTCATCTCCGAGGGTCTGGAGCAGCTGGCCGATATGATGTCGCTGATCGGCGACGCCGGCGCGCTGGGTAGCACCATCTACGGCGTCGTCACCGACCCGGACTCGGCCATTCTGGATGTGTTTGAGATCGCCCTGATGGGTGGGGTGCGCTCGCCCGAGGAGTTCGAAGAGGCGGCTAATGCCCGCCGTGCGTTGACGGAGGATGAGATCCGTAGTCTGGGAGCGGACTGGAAGTCGTGGAATGATGACCTTGCCGAGGTAAGGTCGGTGTGCTATTGAGGACCGTCTCCTCCCATGTGCGTGCTAGCTTACCACCACCTTCATGGTATATATATGCACTTATTTTGATACGACTGAGTTGTGAGAAACGTGCACCAGATAACAACACAAGTAAGGAGGAGCGAATGTCATCATCACCATGCTTCCCATGCTCCTCCTGCGCCATCTACGCCACAACGATCGGTTCCTGCTTCGAAAGCCCCAAACCTCTCCGCCGTCAGCCAAGTCCGGAAGATCTAGAGACATCGTTGCCGCATTGTATTCTGGCGTGCTGCTGCGCCGCCGCCAGCGGTGGTGGTACAGTAGGCACCTTGTTTTCGGATTATTAAAATTAACTTATCAGATATAATCATTGAAAGCACAGTGTTGATAGATATAATATTATCTCTGTACTACTACCACTAAGGCTACTAGTCAGCTCATGGAATCATAGAACAAACTTTGGTATTGTAAATAATTAATGAGTACTATTATTGATCAGGTTATTCATCTTGTCGCTCCACTAGCATTGTAGCATATGCAACCACATGCTTTACTTGCTTGAGTGCAACTTGTCAAGACGCATCTCGCGTGTCTCGCGCGTGCTCTTCAGCCACTGCTCCACCCCATCAATCGCCTCCTGAGGGTTATTCTTGTAGTTCAGAAGATATCCCTGAACCTCTGCAGCAGTAAATTCACCAGAGGGAACTTGTGCTGCAAATTGTCGCGCCAAGCTCGAGATATCCCCCGGAGCGGTCACACAAGGTGGCTTCCCATTCACAGGCTGTACCCCGTTGACCATGGGGTGCTTGGTCTTCTCAAGACTCCAACCCGTCTCCGCAGAACGCAAATCACCCTCCAGCATGGAGTAGATGGACGCAAAGAGTTCCTCGACATCGTGGCTCTGCGCGTACCCAAACCCGATGCTCATATCCACGCGTCCAGGACGGAGCAGCGCCGCATCCAGCTTCTCGGGATGGTTGGTAGTCATGATAAGAATGCGACCCTCGCTGGCGGCGACACCGTCAATGACATTAAGTAGCCCGGAGAGCGAGATCCCCTGCTTCTCCGGAGGGCCACCCGCAGCCGGGTCTCTCGGCGTCCGGGCTGAGGCAGCAGTGTCGGTGATGGTATCCTTGTCCTTGTCATCAGCCCCGCGTTTCTGCGTCATGCCCGCACAGTCGACATCCTCCAAGAGAACGATGCATCGCCGAGGCAGGCGGTGAAAGAGGCCCATGAGATCATCCTCGTCCAGACTTCTGGAACTCAGATTCAACAGGTACAGCGGCACGCCCAACACCCCGGCAGCGGCGAAGCTCAGGCTCGTCTTGCCCGTCCCCGGGGGCCCGTGAAGCAGATAGCCTCGTCGGTACGGGATCCCGCGGTTGGAGTACCATCGTCTGGTCCTCGGATGGAGGTATTCCTTGATGTCATTAACAAACTCATCTTTCTGGGTCTGGTCCAGCACGACGGTGGAGAGCGCCCGGGGCGCACGCGCCATGCAACGGATCCAGTCGGTACGGCCGTTCGCCTTCTGACCACGATAGATGACCGTGCTGTTCCCGTCGCGTGCAACATACGCCGCCTGCGCATCCGTGAGCAGCTGCTTGAGGAGCGCAGTGTCCCGTCCAAAGCACGAGATGATCAGGCGTTCCGAGTTGTCCTGCAGGTACAAGGAGGTGGTGGACCGGTCGCGAACGCGATTGAGAAAGATCAGGCGGTTCTTGTACCGGAAGCGATGAACTCCGTGCGCGGGGGTGAAGCGTAAGCGCTTTGTGCGGTCCCGGGTGATCATCTTGTTCCAGTACTCGTCAAAACTGCCCCTTGCGATTTCTTCCTCGTCGATCTCCTCGTCCGATTCGTCGCCCGAATCATCCGAGCTGTAGTAGTACCGATCGACGGAGAGCTGGGTGCTGGCATAGATGTGCTTGGCGTTCTGCATGCATCGGTGCCGCGAGATCCAGAACATGAGGTAAACGTAGACATCGTCGTAGATACGGACCTCAGTTGAGGCCATGAAATGGCTCCGGAACAGGCTCTGAACATGGTGGGACATATGATCGGATGCAAAGTAGATGCTAATGGCTGTGAATATGTATGGGACATAGAGAGAAAGATCGATATGGAGGTATGATAACAGGAGGCGCGAGATGAACGCGTACCCGGGGATGAGTCCCTCCAGGCTGGCGGTTTCGCAGGAATTGGGGGTTGGAGTGGTCAAATTCATGGTGATGAGTGTAGGAGCCGCAGTTGATGGCTCGTTGCAGAAACCAAGCATGCGCGCGAGGGCTTCAGGGGGGATTTATAGGAACAAATTATAACATGTGTGTTACGTTCGAATCGATCCTCAGGTCTAAAGCTGAACCAAGTACAGTACCTTGTATTCCAGCTTGACCAAGCCGCAGGCAGCAGAAAAGGCTGCGCTCAACAAGAGGGACAAAGGCCCGTGAAGCAGGTAACAAGAGAGAGGCCTTGCTGAGAACAGTTCACTCTTTAAGGCTGTCTCTTGCTCTTATAGTCAGCCAGGCAGCATGACAGTGTGTCAGGCTGCCACGAGCTAGGGGATGCCGAATGGTTCCAGACCACATTGCTGCACCCTGGTTCATCGAATCAGTGTAACTCCAGCCGACAGGACAGTGGCTGGACGGACGGCAACGAGGCTTGAGTCACCGACAGTGTCGCTTAATAGGCTGCAGTGAGAGTGGAGGGAAAGGATCGCCACAAAGGGACAAAAAGAGGCTCAGCTCAGCCGCATTATCCTGCACATGATGTCATCCTGCAGTCGGGATCCCATTTCGGGAAATTGTCAACATTTCTTTCTAGGTACATGTAGTATCAATTGTGGGTATCTCAAATTAATATATGCTGTATGTGGCACTACCTCCAGACCACCCAACAAGACTGACTGAGAGGTCGGTATAGACGTATTGAAAGGAAGGGAAAAGAATCATCATCTAGGAAGACCCCGTCACAAAGTTATCTTTGACAGTGTCAAACACATCAGTCGCCCAGTCCTTGGCCTCTTCGATCTTCTCCCACAACGTTCCCCACCAGTTTGGTCCCGTTTCGTCCTCGCTCTGTGAGCTAGTTTCCGGTGGCGTATCCACAACCATGTCAGCCGAAGACGTGGGACTGGCGGAAATCATGGATGAAGTCGTGGTTGGTGTCGTCGAGGGCTTGATCGGTTCGACGACGGTGGTCGTGACTGATGGTGGATCAGAAGGATCCTCGAGGGTCGGTGAATCCTCGTCAGAATGTAGGCCCACTGGCTTCAGAGGGAGACGAAGAGTTCCATTGTTGGGGTGTGGCGTCACCCCGAGGGAGTCACAGATCAAGTTGTAGACATTGATGTTTTCTGAATGAGTCAGCTACCGGCGAAAGCGTGCGGAGGCGAATCGAGTACTTACGGAAAGCCGCCAATCGGCTATTAGGTTCATGGGGGAACGCAGGACCTCGAGCTATGAAGATCGCCCGCATTAAGGGGTGCTCGTGGTCATACCCATGAATCCCCTTCGGGTGGTAGACCTCGCCTTTCTCCAAGGCCTGCTGAGCATCGAAATCTGGCCGTTCAACAATTGCCCAACCTGCCTTGGGGATCACCCAAAGAGGTGCAATACGGTCATTATTCTGAAAATGGTATCGTTCGGGCATGTTCTCCCGCGTGTAAACCTCCAGCGCATGAGAGAAGTTGGATGCCACGCTCTCGAGCTGATTCTGGAGAACTGTAAGGTCTTCCGGCCGCTTGGGGCGAAGCCCACGCAAAGGCCAGCCATCAATGCGGGCGACCAAGCTTAGATCAATCAAGTCTTCCAGCTGCACCAATCGTTCGGTAGCAGTACTGGCCATTCCATGGTCAGAAACAATCACGACATTGACGATCTCAGTCAAGTTGCGATCTTGGAGGCCTGTAAGAAGACTAGCAAGCATGGAGTCGACCTTCGCTATTGTGCCCCGCGTCTCCGTGCTATTAGGCCCGTACAGATGCCCGTCGGCGTCGACATTGGGAACGTAAGCAGCAATAAACTGCGGGCGGGACGATTGCGTCTGGTCCTCTACGCCAGGGAGGTCCAACAGGCCTAGGATGCGGTCGACCTTTCGCGAGAGTGCCTCGGAGCCATTATAGCGATCGAGAAAAGATGGCTCAACACCACCGATATGTGCCTCGGAACCTGGCCACATGTGGATGGCAGCCCTCACGCCCTGGTTCTCAGCCGTCATCCACAGAGGCTCGGCATTCCACCATTTCGGCTGCATGCTGACGCTGGGATGGGTGTAGTAGAACTCATCCTCCATCTCAGGGTCCCAGAAAGTGTTTCCAACAATCCCATGACTCTCGGGATATAGACCCGTTACAAGGGTGAAGTGGTTCGGGAAGGTCACGCTAGGAAAGCTGGGCAGCATGTATTGCGGAGAGACACCGTTCGCGACCAAGGAGTTGAGGGCCGGGGTCAAGCCACGGTTCAGAAAGTCCGCTCGAAAGCCATCCAGAGAGATCAGGATTGTAGTCGGTGCAAAAAGAGCGGTGCCGTTGGATAAGAAACGTTTCGAGGAATGCGATGCTCGAAATTTCGTTGATGCCTTGTAGGCTCCTAATAGGAGTATGAAGAAGAGAACCAGGACGGTGGAGAATATCAATAAGAGTCGACGCCATGAAAGACGCGGTGGCTGTTGCAATCAAGGTAAGTTAGTTAGCGACAATACAGATCATATGCAATTGCACTGGGTGTGCCTGTCATGGCGGCATACTGGGACGGATGTGTAATCCTTGAGCCGGCGGTCCAGATCCGACGAGGACGAACTCAAGAGAGAGCTCTCATCGTCCGGGTGGCCCTCTTCCATCTCGAACAGCATCTCGGCTGATTCCCGCGAGTTTCCCAGACGCCCTCTGCGTGCATCCTTCCTGGCTTGCCTCCTTTGTCGCCTGCGTTCCTGCTTCCCAATCCGGACACTGCTGCTGCTATTGGGGCTAAAAATGCGGCGGAGGCCATGCGTCGGACCGCTTCTGGTCAACAGCTTTTCGGTCTCCTCTTCATCGTCTAGAACCGTGCGATCGTGTTCTGCAAGTTCGAGAGTGGTTCGAGATCGGCGGAGGAATTCGTCGTCTTCGGAGTCAGAGTCCTGCTCTGAGGGGGAACGTAGCGACTCGGCATCCTCGTCGTAGCCGCCGGGGGAAAGAAGGGAAGCGTCGCGATTATTACGTCGTGAAAGCATGGGGGAGAATAGCTGGCATGGGGCCGGATGCGAAGAAAATACGCGTTGACACAGGCGTAAGAAGCAGGGATGGACAATTTGAAAAGAAGAAAGAGAACTGAATGAATGATGATTAGTCGATAAGTTAGTTCAAGTTGATTGATAGGGAGATCAATTGGAGTTCGGGCGATCTCCGGGCCGGTGCCGAAAAGGGATCATCCCACGGTACGCCCGCCCTTCAGCTTCAATGCTCGAATCTACCCCCTACCCTATACTGTCTACTTGATCGTTACCCATGAAATCTGGGACAAGCAGAAATGAAAGAATCATTCTTCCAGCAGTACTACAATGGTCGTCAGCTCTCCGTGTCGGAGGGCAAATGCTGTCTTTCCGCAAATAACCATTCTCAAGCTTCACTCACTAGCAGCGACACAGCTTCTACACGCAGCCCAGCCTAGGATCTCGATACGGTTCATCGCACCCGAATACTCTCTGAGCAATGCTCCCGAAAATATGGCTCAGCTACACTGTACACGCGGCCAGCCGGACTCAGTTGACGAATGCTGTGGCGCTGGTTGAATGCGTACACAGCCGTGAACGCCACATAATCACTTGCGGAAGTCTTGAGGAGCGCCTGAGAGCTGACTAACTATCCCAATCGTCCATCATTCCCCCTAGTACTAACCTTGAGAAGCTTACTTGCGGTTCTAAAAGTAGTCCAAGAATGGATCAGCATTCCAGTTTGGGCCCCTGTTTCCGGCAACTGGCTCCTATTTCGGCAAGTATAGGGCTGAGCGAAGATCCAAGTCACATGATCTCAACTGTTCTCGACATGAAGGACTCCAGTCGAGAAGCTCCACCACTGCGGACAAGCTATGGAACCTGATCCGGAGCAAGCAGACGTCTCTGCATCACCGTTGTCTGTCTTGCTTCTCCGAATGCAGTACCGTGTTGTATCGAATCTGGCTGCGAACCATGGGCTTTCGTCTAGCTCTATACTCAAGGTCACTTCACTACTGAAGATGGATGTGTAGATTCAAACAAACAACCCCAAAACGAAAGCAACAATAGCCAGCCCAAAATCCAGAGAACTAACCTACCGGATTTGGTCGACAGGAAAAAGCTATAAAGGTTCCTCCCCAACCCACCCCTCCCATCACATCTCCCTCATCGTTCATCGTTCATCGTCCATCCTCATCTTTGCTTCAAGCAAAACAGCATCAATCCCAATCCCTGTCCCAGTCAAACCACTGCTGTTTTTAGCCCTCCCTCCCCTCTCCAAGCAAAGAAAACACACCACAATGCACATCTCCAACCATCTCGCAGCGGCCCTGGCCCTCGCGGCGGGCACCGCCCACGCCAGCCACGGCATCATCCACGCGCGCCAGAACGCCACGCAGCCCGAGACCACCACCACCACCATCCCGATCAGCATCCCCATCACGCCCAGCGGCGCCACCGAGCCCATCCCGGTGCCCGTGCAGACCGAGCAACAGCCCACCACGCAAGCGCCCGCCGTCGTCCTCAGCACGGCCGAGACCCCCGCCGCGACGGAGGAACCCGCCGCCGTTACCGCATCGACCGTCCCCGCGGTCGTCGTGGTGCCCCCGTTCCCCATCCCCGCCAACGCCAGCGTGCCGGCCAGCGTTCCGGCCAGCGTTCCGGCCAGCGTTCCGGCCAGCGTGCCCGTCATCCCCTTGACCACGGCGCCGCCGGCGATCGTGACCCCGTCCATCGTCCCCGTGACGACGCCCAGCGCCGGGTTCACCAACACCACGAGCCCGAAGGCCACCCACTCGGCGACGAGCTCCGGCTCGAACGGCGGGAGCGGTAGTGGCGGCGGCGGCGGCGGCAGCGGCAGCGGCGGTGAGGGCGGTGGTGCCGCGCCGGCCGCCCCTAGCGCAACGAATGGTCTGACCACGAGCGGGAGCACCAAGATGGTCGCCTCGGCGCTGTCGCTGGTCGGGAGCATTGTGGTCGGGGTGATATTGCTGGCTTAGGCTTAGTCTGGAAGTCCCCGGGGACGGGTCGAGGACAGGCCGGATTGCCCGCGACCATTCACTCATTGCTGCATAGACCTGTTTGCGGGTAACGGCCTTTGCCTCGAAACTTGTGTCTTCTGTAAGAAGTTTTTTGTCTGCGTTTTTTTTTTTTTTTTTTTTGTTTTGGCTCATCTGCTTTGTTTGGATTTGTTTGCTTTGCCTTTTTGATTGCACTTTGAGGGCCTTGCATATGTATCGACCTAATGGGCAGGTAATCATTCTTTTTTTGGGGGGGGGGAAGGGAGGGAATTGGGAATGTGAGAAAAAGAACAACAGAGTCAAAGAAGGAGTTGATCTGGGGAACAGGAGAAATGGGCGTTCTGGAGGGACAGTCTCTACAATAATCCCATCAGTTCATACACACACAAGATCAAATCCCGATTCTGCATTATTCGACTGCATCCAGAAAGTCTCAAGAGAGTGGAATGCTATCGTAGTTCATTTTAGTCTAATAGTAGAGTCATCTCATTATGAAACCAAGTGGTTATAGATACAGTATGCAGCCGAGTAAGGTTTGGTCTACCTCCCATATCATCCCATTCAAGATGTCGAAAGCCAATTCACCCACTGACACGAACACCCTCCCGTACCGCCATCAATGCCGCCATACACCGAGCTCGTCTCATTGGCCGAAGATGAGGACGAATTACTCGCAAAGTCGAAGATTCCCGGCGCTGGATTTATCAATCGGCCACCATAACTCCGGTCTTCAACCTGCAATTTCACCAGCGTGGAATTCACCTTCTCGTCTGCCTCCATCGCGTAGCAATACACCATCTTCTTCTTCGCCTCGCCACCGTGCCGATCCAAGGTGATGGTGACAGGGTAAGGGAAGGAACCGGGTCGGGTGAAGTCCGTTGCAGATGAGGTAGAGGTGGATGAAGCGCTCGAGGCGGAGGAAGTCGGAGTGGCGGACGCGGACGCGGACGCTGATGGCGCCTTCAACAATGTATCCGTTGATCGAGTCCAGATCTGCACAAGGAAGCGCGTTTGCGCCCAGGTGCAGCGCACGCGGGCTTGCTCCTCGGTTGAGCCGCCGTTACTGTCGTTCGCGTCGTCGTCTATACCACTTCCATTCAGAGGAGCGAGTGAAGACAGGAAGATAGAGCGATCGAAGTAGGTGTAGAATCCATAGTGTTCCGTGGCTTGTCCACGGTTGTAGAGGCGAATGGGCTGCGATTCCGAGAGGGGGTAGAGCTCGGCGGCGGCGGCGGTCTCGTCGGAGTTCAGGTCGGGTGAGGGAATAAGGGAGTTGAGGTCAGGAAAAGCGTCATCTCTCTTGCGGGCGAGTCGTCGACGGGTGGATGAAGAGGAAGATGTCGAGGCAGCTGAAAGAAAGCTCATGAAGAATGGGGTCTCTTCGCCGGCGTAGGGGGCGCTGTTTTTGTCCGTGGTGTTCCCGAGAAAGGTTTGGTCCTTCAGGCTTGGTGGTGATGGTGAGGGATCCGTACCAGAGGAGCGGCCAGAGACTAATGATCGCGAGGCAATCGTCGTGCTGTTTGGATAGGTTCCGTTGCGGAACTCGATCTCGACGCGGAAGGTGGGCTCATCGGCCGTGTACGGCTTGTTATCGGACTGCTGCTCTTTTGGAAGGGCACAACTCCAGAGTGAAGATGGGGCAATGCAGCCAGGAACTCGTTTGTAAAGATTCGGTCCAGCGATTGTCGCAATGCCAGTTGGCATAGGGGGATAGCCGGTGAGGTTCAGCCATTGGGATTGCACCGGCGTTGCATTTCCCTTCCTGGTCAGTGTCAAGGCAAGAATGAGGGCGAGCAAGACGACTATGAGGAACGAAGTGCAGATGGCCAAATACCACCGACGCTTCACTCTTCCTTCTCGTCCCGACCTGCCAAAACAGCCTTTCTTGCTAACCAGGCCTCTGCCACGCCAGCATCCACCTAATTTCCGGCCAACAGCATCTTCCTTCTCTAGCCTTTGTCGGTTTCTTTCAATCTTCTGACTTTCCGTAGTTGACTCCACCTCCTCCCGTGTGAGTGGGTGTGGATCTATGCGTGGGGGCAAAATGCTAGAGCTGTGGTGGTAAGAGGTATAGGCAGGTGCCGGTGTGTTCTGCACTCCGCTCAAAGGTATTGATCCTCTTTCTGTCATCCGCTGAAAAGCGGGCGACACAGGCTCCGGAGGTTGCGGCTGTGGAGCAGGATTTGATGCAGGGTGTACAATGTACTGCGAATAGCTTCGTTCCGGCGGAGCTATAAGAACGGCGGAAGGGACCACGGCGGGGTGATTGTAAAAGTTCTGCACTGTCGGTGGTGCCGTATTCGTTGGTTGGGGAATTGGCTGCGAGACTACCACAGGAGCTGGCTGGCTGACTGGTTGTGCTGGTTGGATTATTGGCTGAATAATTGGCTGGTAGAAAGGGTAGGGGGCTTGCTTCCCAACATGGCTCTCAGCGACGGCCGCCGGTGCTGCGCTTGACCCTTCTTGAGGTTCCGGCGTAGATGAAAGTTCTTCGGCGGTTTCCTTCGCGCTCTGTGTTTGAGGTTGCTGCTTTAGAGATCGGATACTCGGAGAGCGCTCACTAGGTGGGTGCTCACTTGGCGTATCCTTGCTTGGTGCGTCCTTGCTTAGGGGCTGCTCGTTGGAAGGATACTCGCTTTGAGAATACCCAGTCAAAGTAGGACCGCTCAGAATGCTGTGCTCATCGGAATCACGGAAAGGGTTCTGTCTGCTTTTAGACACAGTGGAGATCCTATCAACGGAACGCAGACCAGTGTCCGCATCGGAGGGTCCGGATGTATGTTGTTTCTCAGTTCCAGGTATATTATCCACGTCAATAAGGAGCTCTTCCTCGTGAGTGGCCACCACAGGCGCTTCAGCCATCATTGCCGCAACCTTATCCTTTGGGGTGATCGAACAAATATGATTAACACATTCAAAATAAGGTCGCCCGCTAAACAGTTCGTGGGCACATGCCTGATAATACTCAGCAGCAGAGCCCTGAATTGGCTCTCCAGGAAACATAAAGGATGTCATATTTCGCTCAGCTTCATCCGAACTAGGATTTGATGGACTCGAGTTGGCCTTATCTAGCGGATGTGTAACGGCATCCGGGGTGTCGGGCGAAAAGTATGAGACTTCTTTCTCCCACCACTCGTCCGTCAGTCCAGAGGAGTGGGTTGCGATGCTGGGCACAGGAGGCCTTCCGGCAGTGATTGGCGTCTTAGGAAAGAGAGGGGACATGAGATACGTCCACCAGCCTTGCGACTGCCGGGTAGCTTCGGTATTGATGCTTAGTCGATCCGGGATCTTCCTCACCTTCTCAGTTGAGTACGAACTTGGTCGCTCTGTGACCTTGGGACTATCTTCCTCAAAGATAGTTCCGGTTGAAAAAGCACGCTGTTTTCTTGATGAAATTACAGGTTTCATAGCGGGGGAATCAGGGCTAGCCTTCTCATTATCCGCACGAACATGAAAGGTTGGGATGGCCGGCACTGGCGGTATATCATGATCGTCATAATCGGGGTATGGCGTAGGTTGAGAGTAGATGCTGGATGTCGCTCTGGGACGGGGATGAGCCGGCTCGAATCCGTCCCAAAATGTATCTTCCTTGGCAGGAGTCACAATAATTGAAGGTGTAAGTGGAGTATGTGAGGACCGCAACCTGTCTCTTTCCCTTGACCTTCCCTCGGGCGAGTCCTTCGACCCATGGAATGGCATTCGAAGCCCGATCATAATATGCCTATCAGAAGGCGATAGCTCATCCTTGCCTATCGTCTTCTGCTCGGCAACCCCGAAAGTCTGTGGTGCATCTGACCCTGGTACTACCGACTTCACAGTCTCCGAGCTACTGTCCGTAATTCTTTCTTGCTCTCGCACCTGCGAAAGGGCCTTGAGGTCATTCAGATCGACGAAGACCGGTGCTGGCACCTCGTGCTGTACAGTCGTACTTGGTTTGGAGAAATCTGTGACCAAGTTCAATCCGCGACTTCTGCTTGAGCTCTGCTCAGCTCCTTGCTCCATATGCACTATTCCTTGTACTATACCACTTGCACCAGAGAGGCGGCCGGTCTGACCCTGTCCTTGAATCTGATTATCAAAGGTGGCCTTGCGAATGAAAGGATTCTTGCTGATAGTTTTGCTCAGGAGAGCGAAAGGGCGATTCCGCCACAATTCGTGGTCGTCCGGAGATGACGGGATGGGGCTGGGAACCTCTTCTGTAATTGGTGATGAGAGAGGAAAGCTTGGAGCAGTAGGAATAAGCAGTCCAGCCAGTGGCTTCTGATTCCGAGAAGCCATGACACCGGACTGCGTATAGTATGGCCCGCAAAGTTGACTCGTAGGCCCAGCTAATTTGCAAAGTATGTAGGGATATTATACTGTAGATTATGCAAGTTCTGACCACTCAGTAGTTGCAGACAAGGCAAGGACCTCTAATGAATATCGAGGGAGGTGTATCTGTTCAATTGGGAGAGGTGTTCTCCTTTCGTTCTTTGACACGGGGAAAGGCTTTTCTGTAAGAAGAACAAAGGTAAAGTTGATTGTCTTCAGAGGTCAGCGAGTCGGAAGCAACAATGGAATAATCTCGACAATAGCATTAACACAAGCAAAGAAATCTTACACAATTACCGTGACTCAAAGAATGTGAATGACCTATTGCCAAGAGAGCAAAACAGGTGTGCAAGACAAGCTCCAACAGCGAATTCATGAAATCATGAAAGGCACATCAAGCCAGCCAGTTTGTACAAGGATGAAGGCCAGAAGAGATCAACAGATGCTCTCAGATATGTACGACAGAGGGAAAAGCTTCGTCACCTCAGGTGGGCAATGGAGGGAGGAGGAAGTTCCCTCCGAAGAGCTATCCTTGATCTAAACAGCTTGTTTCGCATTGTTCCGGCCAGAGCCTGTGCAGAATCGCAAGTCGACCAGTATCCATGGTTTCCGGCGACATCTGCTGCAGATAGATCAGTTCAAACGAAGCGCTGACTGGGTGGAAAGAATAGAAAGAAGAAAATGGACTCTGCAGGACGGAGAGTAATCTGCAGAGTGATCTGAGTGAGGATTGGCTGTGGACGAAGCCTGATGGGTGATGGGCAAGTTGTATAGCCGCCGATGCACGACACCCGCCCGAGCGCTAACTTCCATAGTCCATGTTGCAGACTGTCAGCGGCACACCCAATCAGGGACCCGCTTTGCTGGGTGATAAAAATAGTACCTCCCCTAACAGTGGAGATTGCGCCCACTACTAGGTACTCGGGTACCGGGTCTCTCTCCTATGCGCCAGAATTTCCCTGCGATACACTTAAGACTACTTTACAAATTGAGTAAACAAACACGAGAAGATTTAAGAGAAATATCGCTGCCGATTCCTGTGGATCGGCTTGCGCAGCGTTCGGAATTTTTTCATTTCATCTCCGAGTCAGTACCAAATGGTCACACAGATAGACATAATGAACAGGCCATGAGGATATCAAGAAGGAATATGCGCAAAGCTCATGTCACAAACATGTTGCTTCCTTTCTACAACCAAGGGGTATTGAGGATGCAACGTCGATAACTGATCCAACCGTAAACCAAGGATGACACATGAATTCCCTCATAAAGGGAAGTATTCAAGACATAAGAGGCGATAAAGGAGACGCAAAAAGAGACATCGAAACATGCGGTGCGGGGGTAATCTTTGAGGCGAACAGAAGTGAAAGTAAACAAGACACAGTGATGATGGAGAAAGCAGCAGATTCAGTGGAAATCTGATGCCTGCCAGAGAAGCTTGCCGGTTAAATCCAGGAAATATGTATATGTTGAATGAGAGCGAATTTTCACAGAACGAGGAAAGCCGCTCAAGACTTTCCTTTGCAAAGCAGAATCAAAAAGGTTGCGGTCGCCGAGGAATCATCACCAATGCATTCGTAGCAAGGCCTTCATCAATGGATGTATTTCGGTACGCTATGATCTTGTTTCAAGCTACCGTCGATCATCGGTGTACTGTACGCCTTGCATAGGAGCAACAGACCCATTCATAAGTGGGGGTAGTGTACGAGGCTGCTCTTGCGCCATGGCAGAGCCTTGGGCGTAGCTGGGGTAGATCGGACCGTGTACCTGACCGTTCGTCTGCGGAGCGGGGATGGTGTGATGCTCGAATATTGACGCCTGGCGCGACTGTCCATTGGATTGCTGCTGGTTTAGCTGCGCGCGTAATTCATCAACCTCACTCCTCAGAACGTCGTTGTCGCGGCGAGCATTGTTGAGCATCTTTTCCAGATGGCTTATGTACTCGATGGCTATTGGAGTTGTTAATGGGGGATGGGCTAACGATTTGGCGGATAAGTGCTTACCTCTAGTGAGAGTCTCCCATTTGCTAGATTTGTTGTTCTGACTCTGAGGAAGACGGACGCGTAGGGCCTCGAAACAATCTTTCATCTCGCTCCGGCGCTTCCGCTCAGCTAGCTTGTGGGTGACGCGCAATTCTGGTGTGCGGCTGTAGGGAGTGCTGCCGCCATGCGCTTCCGCCTCGCCAATCAAACCACGGACTTGTTTATGCTGAAGCGTATGGTGATGTACATTTTGAGGAAGTTCTGTTGAAGTTAAAAATTTGCGTGCATAGGGGACCATCCCAGGACTAGTGCGTCAAACATACCATGTTGTCCACGGGGTAGGCGTGCATCGGAGTACACACTGCTGGCCAGAGACTCTGCCGTGCTTCCTTTCCGAGTGAACTGATGGCCGTTAAGAGGTCTATCGGCAGTAGACGAAACGGAATTCGACCGGGCGACATCTGGATCTGGGAAGGCATACGCGAGACCCGCAGTGGGCGCCTCCGCATTGTAAATTTCGGACCGAGGGTTCGAGGAAATCGCAGGTGCAGTGCGGCCAGCCGCAAAGCTACGATGCTCGCCAGCTCTTGGGCCAAGTGGAGAAAGAGGTTGTCCGGCAGAGTAGCGAGGACCCCGGTAAGCGTTGTTCATATTAACATCCATCGAAATCCCACGTTCCCGTTGTAGTCCAGAAACAATTGACGACTGCGAGGCGTTCGTGCTATGGTATGGGGAAGCCGGGTTGATGGCGAGAGAGCTGATTCCCTGATTCATCCTGCTATCCACGCTGCTCCGTCGCGACTCTGCCGGCTCCGCGATGCTGGCTCTCTGGGAAGGGGCATCGTAATTTTGGTTTATGGAAGGTAGTGTCGTCGGGGGTTGAGCGTGACCGAAATTGGGGGATGGCTGGGCTCCGGCTGAAGAAGGGGTAGTGGTACTGGAGAGGTCATTGGGGTATGGAGATCGGTCGGAGACAAGGGAAACGCGATTTGGGGATGGTTGTGAGGATGTGAGGAATGAAAGAGAGGGGTAGTTTCCGGTGCCGTTCGTCGCGGTGGAATAAGTCGAAGATCCTGGCGTGGGCGGTCAGCATGGATTACGTATGCGATAAACATCAAGCCACCTACTTGTACTCTGAGGCATAGACCAGTTCCCTGAATCTCGCTCGATTGTATTCAGCGAGGCATTTCCAGGCGATTTCTCCGCCTGGGTCGGAATACCCGTCATGCTCGCTGTCAATGTTGAGATCGAAGGCAGGGTCTGAGTGGTTGGGATACCCTGCGGTCCCGTTGTGGCAGGCTCCCATGGCCGGTGTGTGAGAGTGGTTTCCATTGTGCGGCTTTCAAGGCGTTGGGACAGTAAGGGGCGAGAGAAAGAGCGAGAGACCCTATGTGGGTGTGAATATTTCTCAAAGAGCGACGAAGTACTTTTGCGAAGACTAGTGATCCGAAATATTGTACCTCCCTCACTATATCATGTTCGACGTATCGGGAAGCAATCGTAGAACACACGTCTTATATTGGATGACCAGCCGATAGACGCGGTTGATGCCGAGAAATCGATGTCGATCGAGGCACCGTTCGAGGATCGCGTAGGGAAGGGAAGCGACTCCAGATCGAGAGATGTTCGCCTTTCGAGTTCAGGGGACCACCCGGGAATTCTGTTCCTCCTTCTCTAGAATTTTACTTTTATTTCGCCAAGAGCAGAGTTCCCTCCAGAATCTGCTTGCCCAAGAAGAGTATTGCCAACAATGATTTCACTAGACCACGTAAGAGGTCAAGTGGTGAATCTCGTGAAAGTTCACGCTTGGCGAGTCGAGACGCAAGGTAGAATAGTGTAGCGGATGACGGTCACTATGCGACAAATAGATAAGTATTTGGAACGGAGAAAAAGGGCGAGCTGATTGATCACGCAGAGCGCAGCCAAGGTTCGGGGCAGGTGTCGGAAACAAGCCAAGCAGGCGAAAAAGCAGCCAGCGTACCTATTCAGGGACGGATCATGTAGAAAGTGTAGAACGAGGGCAGTTGAATCCTTATGGAGGCCACGGAGAATGTACAAGGAAGAGAAGAGGGACGTCTCAGAAAGGGTAAGGAAGAGAGGCAAGGGAGCGCTAAATTTTATTAGGAAAAATGAGCAATCCGTGTTGAGGTCAACCACATGGGGGAAGACGGATGGAGGGGGGGGGTGGGTGGACAGAAATTATAGACCACAGGACCAATGGTTCTGGGGCATGGTTCGCAGACAATGGATCGCACAGGGAGCTTACCTGATGGCCGAGAATAAAACGCTCGGGCGGTGCAGCGGAACGTGGCACAAGAGTGAGGAGACGAACAATTGGGCAGGAAGAAGAGTTAGGGCAAAGATTCCGACCGATAACCAGCAGAAGCTTAACGTGACCGGGCTTAGTTAAAAGCGAAGCTGCGGGGATAATGAAGAGGGGCGAAATGACTGCTGAGAAAAGAGCCAGCCAAGAAAGATGGACGAGCAGAAACGGACGGTAGAAGTAGAGTACTATAGTAGTGGTGGTGGTGGTGGTAGTAGTAGTAATGTACTTGGTAGAGTCGCAGTATTTTAGTGCGGTAGTCTCCGAGTCGGAAAGAGGGAGTGGAAACAAAAGAGACTCAGAGAAGAGAGAATGAGAGATAGAGGATGAGAGAGGCGGAGAGAGCGAGAGAGCGAGAGTAAAGAGGGGGCCGGCGGTTGAAGGAAAAGAAGCCTAGACTAGAAAGAAGCCAGAAAGAGGGTGGACACTGGAGTGAGTTGCAAAATACGGAGTAATACTCGATTGGTCGTAGTAGGAATAGGACCTCGGACTAGTGGCAGGAACCAGACGGTGGCACTGGGAAGTCTGATTGATGAAAGGGCAAAAGGGCAAAAGGGCAAAAGGGCAAAAGGGCAGAGCAGACTCCGACTCCTTGGGGCTTGGAGCGTGTGGTGCAGCGCAATTCAAGCAAGTGATTTTTTGGCACTAGAACTGGATCGGGATGAAAATCGATGGACTGGATGGATAAGTTGATGATGATGACCGACTCGCCGACTTTTTTAGGCGCGGGAGCTATCGACCATATGTTCTGACTAGTCAGCGGAACCCCGGGGCGGGTCTGGAAACAGTCGGTGGAGACCCTTTCTACAGTACTTGAAGAAGTCAAGAAGACATGGAAAGTTCAAACAATTCATTCATTCTCCCGGCAAAAGCTGGGATAGATTCAATGACAGATGCATGGGTGGCTCATACTTACTAGTCTGAAGGATAACACCCAGGGTCATTCCACAGAAGTCAATTCTCGTAGTAGATGCGTGCTAAGTGAATTGTAAATGGAAATCATAAATATTACCAAGGTCATAAAAACAGAAGAAAATTTCAGATAAAATAGAATAAAAATAAAACCTCGAGCGAAAAGGAAGAAAGTTTGAAAATGGAAGCAGTGAAAAAGCAGTGAAGAATGATCTGATGCAGCTCACACGTAGTACCCTTGTTTAAAAGGGCAATTAAGCAGTCTATCACGGAGGCAACCGTCATCTAAGGTAATGGATCAATTCTATCTCCTTCTTCTGCTCATCCCTACGCAACTTTCAAGATTCCCATCGCCGATGCAAGTTCTTTCTCCTATTGCGTTCGATGTAGCATGATCTCCCATCCCCTTCTCACGAGTCCAATATTGCTAGATCTATGTGACACGGAGTGATGGATGCATGGGGTTTCATTGGGGACTACTGCGAGATACAGATGATACAGCAGGTATCATATGCTGCTGGATGGCGCTTGGCATTGCGTCCTCAAGTATGGGCACACCCTCAGACCGCAACGGTCCATCAACAATTCACCCATCCCCCGGTCGTATAACAGTGCAGTGCATTATTCACCCTTGGTCAGACATAGTGTGGTCGCAGGTCCGGTAGGCTGTCCGCTCGGGTAACAGCCACTGACGCTCACTCTGGCATGCTGAATTTACAGGTCAAGATCGCTTGGATGGTAAACTGGTCGACTATCAGAGCGGCGAGAGATCGAAATCGGATTTGGAGCCTGAAGCGAAGGCAAGAAGGAGGGCACATCGTTACCTAAAGAGCCACAACTAAGGCAGGTCATCCGTCTGGAAACGGCCAAGCATTCAAGGGAGAGATGATCTGCTGCGACAGGAGTCCACCGCCACGAGGCGGCCTTTTTTTTTTTTTTTTTTTTTTTTTT